TGGAGGTGTGGCTCAAGTGGTACAGCACTAGCCTTCAGCACAAAAGCTAAGGGGCAACACCCAGGTTCTGAGTCCAAGCTCCAAGACTAGCACTGCCTGCCATGCGCTTCTCTCCCCGCCCTGTCACACACACACACACACACACACACACACACACACACACACACACACACGCACACTCACCACACACACACACCTGCGAAGATAAAGCCCTAAGTGTAGCCCTATTTACAGAATTATAGTGATAATTCCAATTCCATAAAATTCTAAAACTGAGAAAGGGATATATATATATATATGTTTATGTTACTTGATGACTTATTGCTAATGGCAGATTCACTTTTGTCTGGGATATTTGAATTGCATTGTTTCATGTTATCTAGAGAAACAAGAAAACTTCAAGGCTGATATTTCTTGAAGAGTTACCACTTACTCATCACTCTGCTGAGGGCAAACATCACTCAGCTCTACGACCTGCTGCTTCCGTTTTTTCACTGTGAAAGAAAATAAAGCTTAAATAAGCATCATTCAGAAGCCACACTTCATACTTCCTTAAAGGCAGTGTCTCTGTGTCTTGTCTCTGTCGTTCTTTCTCTCCCTCCTTCCCCCCGCCCCTCCTCTCATACATACATATATACACACAGAGATTTTCAGGGACTTGAAACAACAAGGAAAGTTACAAACCATGGAATATGTATTCAAACACACCAAGTTTAGAACTACAACTAGCTCCCTATCCCAATCTCTGTGGGCACTGATTATTTGAGTACCTAAACAGAGCCTACTGCTAGGAATGACTAGGAAGCCATGGTATACTGCTTCTCAACTGATTCTCAGGAACTAGGGTTCGGTTTGTGAATCTCAGTCTTCCACTTAGTGGTTTCACAAACCCTTGCAATATTATAATTGAAGAAAGCTAATACCCACCCTATTCACAACAAAAGTTTCACAGAATACAATTTAAGGGGCTCTTACTGTGCTTTCTTTTGTAACAGTTATTTAAATATACCTGTTATAAGTTCCTGTTGCTTCAACAAAATACTTCTTATTTCTTTTAGCCATAACATCTTCACATCTACACTTTTAGCCTAAAGATTAAGAAAGAAGGGATGGTATATTTCCTGTTATAAAAGAATGATTTTTACCATAAATGTAATTACATCAAGGACAATCTACTCCCTAAAACACCATATTCACATTCTAGCCATTTAATTCTTAAAACTTCTAAGAAGCTAATCATTAGCAAGCAGATTAGACATAGTAGAAATAATACACTGAAAACTATTCTGAAATGAGCCTTAAATAATGTAACAATAATGATTAAAAGAAACACAACTGATTTCCTTGGTTTTTCTCTTTGTTCTTTAAAAATATACATAATTTTATAAAGCAAGCTCTAGTATTTCCCCAAAATAGAATCACTTACAAAATAAACTTTGCGACTAATAGCTTAAAAGCTTCCTTAACTATCCTCCCGTTACTTACAAGATAAGCTTGCTAAATGACAAGTATTATGTTGTTAAGTAAGGCAAGAAAAGGTATTTTATAGGTTCTAGTCAGTATAGAATTAAGACAATCAAAAAGCAATGAGCATTGGCAACAGACAACAGGACAAGGATCACACACAATTCACAATATTGAGATTTACTGAATATTTGATGACAACATCATAGCATATTCTGATTGCTCTTCTCTTCCTTCTAACACAGCGGACCTTATAGCATATTTGATCAGGGTTTTAAAAACTATACTTTAGAGCAAATGTGAAGCATCAAATCCTCTCATGAGGAACCCAATGGGACAGGCAAATATCTGCCAAGCTGCCAGCTACAGTTCACTAGTCTCCTAGAGAACAACATGATCATCCCTCAATTTAAAAAAATACATGCTATTAGAAAAATGTTTACATACATCACAAAGACTATTGAAATAATATTGAAGTGATTTGTAGAAAAAAAGTGAGATCTTATGAAATGTGACCAAAAGTCTTTATCAACTCAGGTTTTTCATCTTAAGATAGACTATGATTTCTAGAGTAATTTTACAATAACCAACCTGTACAATATAAACTTCTTCCTTCCCACCGTGCCAGATTTCAAACTTGCGGTTATCACTTTTCACATATTCTGTGATTCCAACTTCATCCATCTAAAAGGAAGAAGTCACCATTGTCATAAGCAGTTTATTACGAATATGAACTTACATTAACTCTATCTCATTTATGTTCTAAATGAAACCAACGTTCTCACTTGGGCAAAATATACATTTTAGATTCAGTGACTATGAAAAGACAAGTATTATCATAGGCCAAAGCAGTTAAATGAAAGCGTTTTCATAGTTCAGAATGCACACTGAATTCCAGTAATTGATACAACTGTGGTAAATCTGAACATCAAAAGAGGACATCAAAGATTGAAGTCTGTTACAAATTAACTACACACTATTAAACCAAATTTGCCACAGAGAAGTAAAAGTAATTAAACATCAGTGAGAAAAGGCGTTTGAAATTAATTTAAATGGGTAATTATTGGCCAGAGCACTTATTCTTAAAAATGTACTATTTATCTCTAGCTGTGAAAAGTTACAACAATCCAATTTACAGAGCAGGGGAAAAGCACTCAGGTACACAGGGATCACAGAACATCCACCAATCCCTCAATCCCTTAGTCTCTATGGAAACCAAAATATCTCTCAGTAAAACTTTTGGGGGGTGGGGTGGGGACTTCTATACACACTCTTACTTACCAAAGCTTTCCTTCTCCTCCATATATCTGTGTTTCGCAGTTTTCTCTTATCTTTTGTTAATATGTTGGCTAATTGCATTTTGGGTAATTTCACTACCTTTTATATAAACATGTTCTATTTCTTTTTTGCCCCTTTTCTTTTCTTTCAATTCTTACCTAATTATCTGAAGGGATATCCTATTTAGTTTCACTGATGAGCCTCTCAAATGACTCTCATTGAAACTGATAAGAAATAAGAGTATTACTAGTGAAATTACTATATCAAGGAAAAAGAATGCAAGTATACTTAGAAATAAAACAGAATCAAAGTGCCTCTGAAATCTACCTTGAATATAGTTGGAAGTTACTTTTAAAATGATTCCAAATATATTTATGTTCCTGCTATACCTCTCAAATCTATTTCTGTTCAAATATGAAGATGTAAGACAAATAGTACTCATTCCATCTTTTTAAAAATTAATTTTGTTTCATAGCATGGCTTTGGCTTATTCTCAGGATAAGTTAGAAAACAAACTTTAGAGTCAGAGAGTTTCTAGAGCCTAGAAACCTTTACCATTTACTAGCTATTTATTGTTCTGCAATTTGCTCAACTTTTATGAAGTTCTATTTCCTTCTTTATAAAGTAGAAAGCACATCTATTTTGGAATTGATATAAGGATTAAATAGCATGCATTGAATATTCAGATCATTTGAGCTTCTTGAAGTAAGAATTTTTTTCTACTCCTTCCCTTGTTTGAATTGCAAGTGTTTTATTATGTTTTACTGCTAACATGCAATACATCATTATTGATGAAATTATTTTTAGTTGTCCAAGGTATCTGTTATCATCACTATGTGACTATTTGCTAAATAAAAAGAACAAACAATAAATGTAGTAATAGAAAAAAAGGATAACAGCCCATCAGGAAAGTAGAGAAGAAGCAAAACAATTTTCTTCCTTAAAATATAAAGTATTATTTGTTTCCTGTGTCTACTAAGTCACCAGGCTCTTATATCTACCTTCCATTGAAATGGGTCCTATAGCTGTCTCATACAGTTTCCATGGTAATTTATTGTATTCTCAATTCTCCCAACTGCATCACTTCAAAATTCCCTCCTTCCTTACATTACTGAACTTGACAAAAATTCTGCTGGCATGCTCATCTTTGTGTCAAATTGAAGGCAAAATAGAAAATCAATACAAGTGAGAAATTGTACATTAGGCAGTAACTAGGTTACCCCATAGATACAAACCAAGTCAATTGGATTGCACATGCCTACAAAGCGAAAGTACCTACCAAAGGAAAAGGATATAAACAACAAAAGACCTAAACCCTGTATGAAATGATTACAACATCTTTGGTTGCCTGTCAGTGTTCATTTAAATCATAATTGACCCTTAGAAATCTAGAGAGTGGGACATAGACTGTGGTATTAATGGAGCAACTGGCTATTTGTGATTTAAAAAAAAACAGAGGGACTTTTTTTTTAAGTTACCATGGATTTAGAAGTAAAATAGGAAAATAAGACAGTGGGAAGGGCATGGGACTTTAGCCTATGAGGATCAAAAGCAGGATATACCCCTTCACACTGTCACCTCAATCTTATCATAAGACACTGCTCTTTACAAATATGGCTGCAAATTGTATCAGTTCTCCAATATACTGGTAATAACAGCTACGAAAGAGCAGGCTCACAAGAAAACTAAAACGATACTGGATGAGGATTCAAGGGTAATCCTTTGTTGTATTTTGTAATTGTTCTATGACAAATGCTACATTGCTTTTACAATTTAAAAGTTGAAAGAGTACTCATTAGACACTATGGGGGAAATGAACTATACAACTTGTGGGAGGGGATGGGAAGGAAAAACTGGGAGAGAGAGAGGGAAGGGAAGACATTTTCCATTGTCCAAAAAGAAATGTACTCATTATATACCATAGCTAAGATATGGAACCAACCCAGATGCCCCTCAGTAGAGGAATGGATCAAGAAGATGTGGTATATATACACAACAGAAATCTATGCTTCCATCAGAAAGAATGACACTGCCCCATTCTTAAGGAAATGGAAAAACCATTATGTGAAGTACGCCACATCCAAAGAAACATAGATCCCATGGTTTCCCTCATTTGTAATAATTAGTATATGTCTAGGATAATCCTAGTAGATGAGCAGAATATCTCAATAGCTATGTCCATATGACCATATAAGATGATGCTAATCTAAATGAACTCCAAGACATAGACACAAGAGGTTTTTCTTTGTTGTTGTTGTTATTTTTAATGTACTATGTGTTCTCTTTTTTCTTTTGTGTTTTTCCATATGGCTTATCCCCTGTTGTCACTGTATTTGATTTTGTTACCTTGGATATTGTACATATGTTTATGGATACTGTATATATATTTAAATTGGGGAAAGGAAGGAGAACAACAAAATGGTGAGACAAAGGACAAAGAGGGAACAGCAATACTCACAAGACAACATGTTGGGAATGAACTGTACAATTTGAGGGGGGGCAGGGAAGGAAGGCAAGTAGGAGAAAAATCAGGGAGTGGGTAACAAGTTTGACATGAAAAGTACTCACTACCTTACGTAACTGCAACCCCTCTGTATATCACCATGACAGTAAAATTAAATTTAAAAAAACTAAAACAAAAAAAGAAAAAAGAAATGTACTCACTACCTGTAATTGTAGCCCCTCTGTATATCACCTTTATAATAACATTTTTAAAAACTTGAAAGATAACATTCATTAGGTGTAAAAAAATCAAATTCTCCAATTATAGCCTCATGTGAATTTTGAATGTCCTCTTTTTCTTTTTTGTTTGCTCTTTGTTCTTATGAGATGGCATCCTGCTGTGTATCTGAGGCTAGTCTCAAATATATCACAGCCCAGGTTGGCCTCAAACTTACAATCCTCCTGTTTCAGCATCCAGAGTTCTAGAATTCTTAATGGACACTACCATGCCTAAGTTGATGATCCTGGTTTCTGGTGGCAAGCTCCGATGCAAGTATTACTGCATTTCCAGTAACTTCCCCAAATTCTATTCTAATTTCAATTCCAAGCTATTATTAGGACAGAAGGACAATTTGAATTATAAAAGAGAACAAAAATAATTTCAAAAGAGAGAACCGAAAAAGTATAGAGAAGACTTAGTTGTGAATAGCTCTGGACATCCAAGTATATAAGTAATAGCGAAGAGCGAAGGGTACGAAAGGAAGGGAAATATGCTAAATGCAATGTTCTCATTTATAAATGCAATTGGGAAAAGGAAGAAACTTCTTCCTCCTGGTATCCTGTAACACAGGACTCCCTCCCTCCCTGCCCCCGTCCCCCGCCAAACCTCCATCTAATACTCCTAGAAAAGGGGTGCTCATAGGGAACCCCAAGACATTGCTTTCCATTTCCTTCTCATTTCAAGATGTATCCTTAGGAGAGTGCCTGGAATATAGTGAGGTGGGAATGGGAGGACTCAAACTCTATACTCTCCTCTCATGCCCAACATAAAGGGTGTGTTTTAGTTGATTTCTATATAAGACTTCTAATAGGACCCATTGCAACAATGAGAAGTACAAGTTATCATGTCGAAAATGAACTTTACAACTTTGGTGGGGGGGGAGGATTGGATGGGGGGTGGGGGGAGGCTGGGAAGGGATGGAAAGGGGAAACAAAGTAGGAGGCTACAATGCTTGATAAGAAATGTACTCATTATCTTGCCCATGTAATTGTAACCCCTCTGTATAGTATTTTCACAATAAAAAAATAAAGAAAGAAAGAAAAAAAAGACTTCTAATAAACACTGCTTCTTTTTTTCCTATATCCATACTGGGGCTTGAATTCAGGGCCTTGCCTAATTGCTTGGCTCCTTAACTCAAGAACAGCACTCTACCACTTGAGCTCCTGCTTCACTTCCAGATTTATTGGTGGTTTATTGGAAATAAGAGTTTCACAGACTTTCCTGCCCAGGCTGGCTTTGACACATGATCCTTAGATCTCAGCCTCCTGAGCAGCTAGGATTATAGGTGTGAACCACAAGTGCCTGATGAAGCTTGCTTTTAAACAAGGACATGTGCAGGGTGCAGCTAAAGTATAAAACTTAACTCATTTTGGGCTGGGAAGGTGGCTCAGTGGTAGAGCGCTTGCCTTGCATGCATGAGGCCCTGGGTTCGATTCCTCAGTACCACATAAGCAAAAAGAAAAGAGCCGGAAGTGGCGCTGTGGCTCAAGTGGTAGAGCACTAGCCTTGAGCTGAAGAGCTGAGGAACAGTGCCCAGGCCCAGAGTTCAGGCCCCACGACCGGACCCCCCCCCAAAAAAACTTATTTTAATTGAAAAACAATACAAAATAGAATATATATATGTATATATAATACTACAGTATATAATTAAAAGTGTCTTACATTCAAAAAGTGCTTAAAACTATACGATGGGTATCGATCAGCATCTTCTCTACTTTCAACACGTCTTTTGCAAAAAATAATGGCTTTTTCATATAAGAAAAGATGCCGTTGCATTGGTTTGAATCTTGCAAAATCCTTCATCTTTGTAGCACCTTTCCGGTGTCCTATCCAAACGCTAAATCCACCTTGGATTATCATCTTGCCCAGTTCATTTAAGTTTCCCTAGAATGGAAAAATCAAAACCCATAAGTAATACAAAGCGCAGCTATATTTAGATCTCTGACATTAACCATTTTAAAGTCTTGCTTGACCTACTAAAACCCCGAAGTATAATTTGCATTTTTTAAATGCAATCCATTACAACTTTTTATGCTACAACATGCCATGAATCACATTATGCAGAAAATTGCTGTAGGTGTGGGGCCTAAAAGCAATCGCTTTTTCCTTAACTTCATACTGTCTCCATGTGGAGATAATTCAGCTATGATAACCTACCCCATCTCTGCCTGATTGCACCTGATTGATGCATGACATGTGTCAGGCCACAAATCAGATTTGAACCTTTTCTTCGATCTCTATGGTAGACTAGGGTAAGCAGGAATTCTGTCGGCTTAACTGACCCACGTACTCCCTTGAGCTACATCTCCTTAGAGCTCAACTTGGGAGCAGCTGTGAAGATGAGGAGAATGCCATAAATCTATTTGGCTCCTCATCTGTAGCCAACTTTCCATTTAGCATTAGTAGTAATAATACATATATTTTGATCTTCACTTATCTGCCTGTTGTATATGTTATTTCTCAATTGATTCTAGGATGGTAAGAAAGGGACATTAACATACTTAGCACTGACACTCCAATAATAATTAAAACTGACTTACAATATAGCCATTTATTGCAATCTGATGCATGGAATCATTCACTGACTTCAGTAAATCCAGCATGGTGTCAACAGCCTCCTTTAATTGAGCAGATCCTTCACCATCTTGGCTGTATTTTAATAGCTCCTGAAATTATAAGTCATGAATGAAACTTAATATTTGGTAAATGTTAAAAGAGTTTAAGAAAAATAACAAATGTGGGGGAAAACATGCTTTCAAGGAGGAATCCAAGCATAAATGTCACTTGTGGGAGTCATTCCTGTCATATGCTCTTTGAAATATTATTAACATGCTTAATAACTGTCAAAATTGCACAGGCAATAAACAGAATAGTAATAGAACAGTATAAGTCAATGGGCATTCAATGCTTTTCAAGCTGAAGAACAACAGCTATTAAGACAGATTAGATTATTGGGAGATGGAGGCAAGAGGATCTTGAATAGAGGACTTACATGCTTGAGTCCTAAAGCTTAACATTAATGCCACACACACACACACACACACACACACACACACACACACACAAACACACTAACACATTAGAGATTAGTTATTAAAGCAATTATGCATGATTTTCTACTGTATATCCAGTAATTTGTGTAATTTTGATGCATGCAATATATAATATTGGGAAAGACACAGTAAAACAAGCTATGGTATATGTATAGTCAATACAGTGTTTTAGGAATATTTCATATTACACTGGGAGGTTATCATTTGCAATATTCATGGAGAAGGCCATGAGTATTGAGATTATATGATCTCAAAACCAAGAAATAGGGGCTGGGAAGGTGGCTCAGTGGTAGAGCGCTTGCCTTGCATGC